AGGAACACATATGAACCCAGAAGTTTGTAACCAACACTGGGGTCACTTTCCCAAATTCCTCCCTCTTTCCAGGAGGTTCCCAGGGGCTTCCGTTTCCTGTGCTTCAGCCAGAAATCCCAAGCAAGCTGGGACAGAATGGCTTGAGGATGAGATTAGGAAGGGGTGGCAATGATTAGTAATGACAAGGTCTCAGGTGTGACTGCAGGAATAAGTGGTTAAGGAATGCTCTGGGAGGACAAGATTACTGGAGGGGAAAAGATGAGGCAGGAGAGAAACAGTATTACCTTGAGACAGATCATCCTTGACCTTAATTGACGGAGGCAGCAAAGTTAGTGTGTTGGACATTTGGTTTTTTATTCTTTTGAGTTTGGGATCTAGGGCTCATATTTTCATCTGAATTCCCTGTTTTTAAGCTCATTAGCTTCCCATTGCATTAAATCCTAAATAACCTGTAATTCTAGTTTCCATTTTTTTTTACCTCAAAGTTATTTCAGTGTTTAAATTTAAAATGTTTCAGATTTATTTGAAACTATTAATGCCTAAATTATCTGAGTTATGACTAGAAAATGTGGCCCAGAGGATTTGCCTGTAAGTGACTGAGAATAGTGTATTAAGACTCCCACTAATGTTTTGATCCATTTTTTCTTGAATTTCTAACACTTTATATATTTTGACATATTAGATACATGTTTACAAAGGTTTCATCTTTGTCATAAATGGTACCCTTTATCAGTGCAACAGGATCTTGTTTTAAATATGTGAAAGTAGAAAAAAAAATTAATTTAAGAAAACAGTAATTGGAACTCCTACTGCAAACTCCCTGGTGACATGATTCTTTGGAACCCAAAATACAGAAATATCAAGCACCAAAATGAAAGATGTTAACAACGGAGAGTTTTTACTCTACTAGAAGGACCAAAATTTGATTCCCTAAAATATCCTTTGCCATCTCATTTAAAGTGTTCAAAACACTTTTTAAAAAGTATGTTACTCTGGGGCACCTGGGTGGCTCAGTCGTTAAGCGTCTGCCTTCGGCTCAGGTCATGGTCCCAGGGTCCTGGGATCGAGCCCCACATCAGGCTCCCTACTCTGCAGGAAGCCTACTTCTCACTCTCCCACTCCCCCTGCTTGTGTTCCCTTTCTTGCTGTCTCTCTCTCTCTGTCAAATAAAATCTTTAAAAAAAAAAAAAAGTATGTTACTCTGAAATATTTATATTAATTACAATTTCATAGAAATAATTTCTGGGGTGGACATAACCAGTGTTCAGTATTTCGGTATATACCTCCACTTTTAATTACTTAAATATTAGTATTTGTTTTGCCATTATTCAGTACTAGTCTTTATAATTTTGTATCATGACACATGCAGAGTCACACATGAAAAACTGGAGCTGTATGAAGGCAGTCTGACTATATTTCGTCCCTTTTAAAAACCCCTCCAAGCTGTATTCTTATATACTTTCAAAATGCCCCTTTCTTTAGTTATTTCTATGGTTGAGCTGTTTTCCCTACCTTTACTGTATCTCAATTTCTCTCAGAACCAGTTTGGACCCCATCTACTTTCAGAAGTTCCTGATATAGCCAACTTTTACCTGTGGGATAGGTAGAGGGTCAAAAAGGGGGGGTATGATAGGGAGGAGGGAAGAAAGGAAGGGGTTTCAGGCTTAGTTCCCAGCTTGCCTGCCTCTGTCTATCCCCAAGGCCAAATTCCTTGCTCCTCCTGCATTCTGTCTGTCAGGGTCATCCTTATTGTCTTGGAACTTGATCACTCCTTCCCTAAAATAAAATGTATCCCCACCCACCCACCCACCGAGGCTTCTTTCCCCATCATGAGTCCACTTTTTAACCAAACACCGATGTCAGTGTTTCAGTGTCACAGCAAATAGAATTGTCACTTTGCTCTGGTTCTGCAACTAATAGCTATAGTATAGTTGAAAATTAAATATCTAGGGTGAATTAAAATTGAACTCTTAAGCTCCCTCTGGACTGAAAAGAAATTATTGCCCAATCCAGTCCAGACATGGGCTGAAGAAGCCAAGGATGTGTTTTTTTGTTGTTGTCTGGGGTGTACTGATGAAAAGGAAGAGATTGTTATCTGCTGACTTTTGCTTTTTAATTTTTCTATTTTTTACTCTCTAGAATGCACAGGTTTGATCTGGGGAAAATAAGCCAATTCAGACTAAGATGGGTTTACTCAAGCAGCTAAAAGATCTAGGAGAAATTTCCTATCTGGTCATGGCCTACCTCCAAATAAAGTATCCCCATTGTCACACAACCAACTGAACATAAATTTATTTGAAAACCATGACCAAGAGACATGATCCTTTATAAACAAACTGCTCAGATATACTGTACACACCAGGTCCGTCCTTTTTGTTTAATGTGGCTGTAACTAAACCCGACATCAGACAAGAAGAGCAGTTCTGTAAACATTAACCAAGTTCAAACACTTCATGTCTCAAACTTTCCTCTCACAACTGATCATGTAAGCAGTACTTTCCCTGGATATAGAAGAGAAATATTAATATATAGAAAATATGGTTAATTAGCAGGCACATCAATTCTGTGACACTGACTGTAGTTATAAAACTTCAACATAAAAAGTGTAAGAAAAATCTTATCAACTAGTTTGGCCACAAGATCAAAAAAAACTTACTCTGTAATGAGTTCATAAATAGTTTTGCTAAATTTATGGCACCACTTGGTTTTGGGTCAAGGAGAAAAAAGCTCTCCAATCCATCATATAATTGTAAAACTTTGGAGGCTAGGTGGTGATGTCTTATTTTCACCTAATCCAGACAGAAACGCCTCCATCCGGCCCTTTAAAATACCTTAACTATTACTACCTTTTTTGCAGAGGCAGTCAGTCATTAGCCAGGGGCCTTATAAAAGGAAGTAAGTCACTGTCAAAACCTGGGCCCATAACTATGCAAGATGCAACAGGCTGTGAGCAAGAGGTATTCAAAACCCCTTTCTCCTTCGAGTTTGGGGAACTGACCTTGGATTAGCTTTCTAGCTTGGTTCCTCTGGAAACCTGATGAAAGTGGACCATCAGCTATGTGACCAGGTAAGCCTGCTTCTGGTAAAATGCCCAGGGTGGCACCTTGTGTCCTAGGTGAGAGCCGAGAGGGCTGCAAGTGAACATAAGTAAGTCCCTGAGTACAATGTACCTCCTGTTCCTGGGCCCTGTGCCTGGCCAGGATGGGGATGCTATGCACAGGGGACTGTTCTAAGAGGGAGTGGTCCCTTATGGCTCCTAGATCAGGGTGGCTCCTGCCCCTATCTATGCAGTCTGTGGGGACTGCTGCAAGAATTCCCACAGAAGAATTCCCACCATCCCCTGGCATGGTGTCTTACTGTCCCATGTCCTTCAGAGTAAACTGGTGTCAGACATAGCCTATCCAAGGCTTGGGAGTTTAAATGTATAGTTGAACCCAACACCAGCTATGATAGGCGTTGCACACACACTCAATGTCTTCAGAGACAACACAATCCCACATTAGCACTGAATAGGCATAGTAAGGCTATCAAAAGGGTACAGGATTAGAACCTATCAAGACAAACCTTTAAGAAATAGTTCAAGACCTTAAAAGTATCACTGAAGTTTAAAGCAGAGAAAGGAGAGCATTATTCATTAAGGGACTGAACTTTAGTTAACATTCCTACCAAACTTAGCTATTAGTTATTGCTAAATAAAGGAGCGAGACATCACGGTACAGAGAGAAGGAAATTCACCTAGGAACTGGGTCTTGGTCTCATTCTGGCTATGTGGACTTGGGTAAGGTCGTTCCTACTGCAGCCATCAATCAATATCTATATGGCAGAGAAAGGCAGGGGTGGGATGATGAATTGTGCTTTCCATCATCCCCTGCTGTCACTACTGACAAAACTATTCTCAGCTAACCCCAGGAATAAAAACGCTATAATCTTGCTCCTTAGTTCCATTTTTGGTTAAGTCTCAGGAAAAATTCTAAATACATGAGGAAAGCCTCATGTAAAAATGCAAATTACGGAATTATTTGTTACTTACAATGGAGAAAAAGTTTTAAAGCAACCCAAATGTCTCAATGTGTATCACAGTTTACTACAGTTACTATGAAACTAGTAAAATGATGTTAATATAGTGAAAAAAGTAGGGTAAAAATTATAAAGACAAAATTTTCAAAATTATGTTTAAAAAAACCTATGCATAAAAAAGAAATGGAAGACAAAGAAATGTTAAGGGGACTGCAAGCAGAACTTATGTCTTTTTTCCCATTTTCTACATTTTCTCAAATGAACATCTGAATGGAAAAATAAATATTAGTTTCATTTCCAACACACCTGTTATTATTCAGTATCAAGTTTCATAGTTAATTTTTACCCATATCCTCTCTGGGTATACTATGCTAATATGAAGCTTGAAAATATCATGTCAAAGCAGTATGGTTATGTTATTCTGAAACTGCAAACACTTATAAGAGAAATGATCTGGCAGAGGCAAGACTTAAATATCTTTCTTTTATTAACAAAGCCTAATACCATTCCTGACACATACTAAGTATTTATATGCATTTATAGAATTAGTTTTTGCTCTTTAATTCATATCTCTAAAGAGCTGTGTTTCTTCATATTCAGTTCCATTTTCATGTACTTAAACCAAACAAATCATTCATGTCCTACTACTGACAAGGACATTTTGTGCCAATATACTTACCATAATAAGGTTTGGGAAAATTAGCACTTACCATATATCAAGATGTATACAAACCTCAAATACTAAAATATGGGAATTTAAAAGTATGAGAGTAAAAGTGACTCAAGGAACTTTGGTGTCTTTCACATTTAACTCCTCAATTGTTTGCTGATCTGTATTCCTTCCAAAGAGATTCTGTATTGTTCCTACAAATATAAGTTCTTGGGACATGCTCGTTATATGTAGAAGTAAATGAACTTTACAAATATGTGAAAAGACACATTAACTTTAGAAAGAATAATGTTAAAAAAAAAGTGCCATGCCACAGTTTTAACTTCAATGTTTTAATATCATGAAATGCAAGTACAAAACATTGTACGAGTATATGTTGTACTACATGGAGATGGAATAATACATTTTTTATCAGAATCTGTATCACCCAGTGCTAGCCGCTGGACCAATGACTTTCCACAGGGATTTTTCTACTCTTCCTATGAGGTTTTATCATGAATAAAAAAGCTCACAAATCTTTTCAACCACCGCAGATTTATATTTATCTTAATATTCTTGTTCAGCTGCTTTGGCGAACTGTTAAGAAATACAAAATTGCCTTAGCCAAGAGTTTTGAGTGGCTAAAGAATTTTGTTATTTCATGTTGGCCAAGATCCCCCTTATGTTGGCATCGCAAAGACACTGTGCACTTCTATGCGGTAAGAAAAAGCGTTGTCTCAATAGCCCTCTTACTGTTTAGGAAGGCAAATTACCATTTCTTAAAAAGTACAGAATATTATAATAGTTATTGGCTAAGCAGTAATTCATGAAAATCCATTTATATAAGACAAATAACAGCAACAGAGAGCCATAAAGCCCCTTATGTACTAAAGAAAACAAGTTTGGAAATATTTAAACTAACTGTTTTTCCTACCTCTACACTGGTTTAACCACATCAAGTGAGAGTAACATCAGCCAATAAAGAAAAGTGTCCAGAATTCAGCTCCCATAGCATACCTCAGCCATTTCAGCTAAGACTTTTTTATGACAAACCAAAAAAATGATGAAAGTAGCATTTACTTTGTTGGAAATGAAAAATTAAAATACTGCTAATTTCATAAAATATTTGAAACCAATTTTGTTTTTATAATAAAATGATGTTTATCTTCTTTTAAGTTTTAATTATCGTTCTTACTGTTAAAAAAAAAAATCAGTCAAAGTCATGTCAACCTTTAGGGATAAACTTTGGGGTATTTAAAATAACATGTTTGGAAAACTGAACCACATTTTTAATTGTCAGCATTATGCTTTGTTCTTGGTAGAATCATCTTTGTTTCTTCTTTTTACATCCCAATTATAAACCCTGGCCATATCTGCAAGAATTGTCAAAGAAAATGCAAATGCAAATCTAAAGATAACACATGCAATGACTAAGTATTCACTCACATACTGAATCAAAGAGAGAAATCGTGCACACAAAATACTGGTAACAACTAGTGTTGTGAGCCATCTTGCTATAATGTCATTTAAGAAAATATTGGAACTAAATTCCACAATACAAAGTCAAGGTCTCAAATCAGTAATTGTCTAGCCCATGTAGTCAACTATATATGTGCTGGACACTGTCAACAGTTTGAAAGACAGCCCCTCATCCATGAAATTTCAAAGACTGTTCAAACCATATCCTTTCAGGCAATATTTAAATTAGTACAATTATTAATAATTTCATCTCTTACCCTCCCTTTGGTTTAATAGGACATTCACTCAATTTCTTTTCCTTTCCACGAGCACCACCCTGTGTAGGCCTTGCACATCAATTATTTCTTTCATGGACTGTGCCTTTGGTGGTGTATCCAAAAGTCATCACCATACTCAGGTCATCTAGATTTTCTCCAATGTTATGCCCTAGAAGGTTTGTTTTTTCTTCTAGAAGTTTAATAGCTTTTCCCCACTCTGGATGAAGTCTCCACATTACGAGTCCCATGCCAACTCCTGCTCTAGGCCCCTCCAATAGGCCTATCTTCCCTCACCCAAGCACTCAATGCCTGCTGCATGCTACATGCTATGGAGAAAAGAGAAAGTACAGCTCCTACACTTGAAGTGCTCCCAATCTGGCACAGAAAACAAAGTACTACATGCAAAGTGCTAAGTAAGCACAGGGAAACAACAAAACACCGCAAGGATTTGAAAATGTTGAGAAATGATCTGATGCTTGAGCTGAAATATGAAGGGGAAAAAAAGGAGTAACCCACATAAATAGGGGGAAATCTTTCCAGGTAGGAAGAACAAAGTAGAAATATAAAGGGGTGAGGAGAACTGATTGGGGCTATTTGGAACCCAGGGTGCACTGGGGGAAGGCTACGGCAGGAAGAGGTCAGTGGCATGAAGTAAGACTGGCTTGGGAACACCTCACAGAGAGCCTTGGGCGACTGTGTGGGGCCAATGACTGCAACAGGCACCAAGAGAGATAGGTCAGAGAGGAAAGGCAAAGAGCTGGGTTTCAACAGGCCTACCGCCTCCTTGACCAAAATACCTACCCCCATCTCTTCTCTTTGCTGATCCAAATCCTATAATGCCTTTAAAAACAGCCCAAGTTCTAACTTCGAACTAATTCCAGCACGTATCTCTCTTTCTCTAACTTTAAATTGCCTTGGCATGGCATACCCAAAACGAACTCACTTATATTTTGCTATGAAATTATCAGTTAGCTGTTTTACATGTGCAGTTCTAACACAGCAAGACTTTGGCACTCTTTTTTAACCCTTACCATCCTGTGCCTCAACAGTTGCAGCAACATAAGAGACCCTTAATAAATGCTTGTGGATTAAGCTATTTAACTAGCTTTGAAGGTGTCTTGAGAAAATATTTGAAAGAAAAATGCTTGTGCACTAATTTGAATGTGCTGTTTCCAAACCTTCACACTTCAAATTCAGATTAATCTATCTACAAACTTAGTTAAGTATTAGTTCCAAATATGTTATTTATTACTCTCATAAAATCTGCAAGTTCAAATCAGCCTAAGAGTAAGGATATTCTTCTCATTAAAATAATGTAAGTAAGAGTGTCGAAAACATCCTTCTCCTTTCCTCCCTTTGCTTTTAGTTAAAGAAAGGATACTGACTTCTGTGGTAGTAAATTGATCTCGAAGAAAGTCAAGGTCTTCCTCAAGAGAATCAAGATTCTTCGTGGCAGTCGATAAATTCTTTTCCAACAATGCCTGAGCTTCATCAATATCATATTCAAGCATTACATTAGCCTGAAGAAAGAAAGTCATGACAATTACTCAACAGCTTAGAGCAGGGGTTGGCAAACTACAGCCCTTAGGCCAAATCTAGCCAGCTGCCTTTTCTTATAAGTTTTATTGGAACCCAGATATTCTCCATTTGCTTATGCTTTCACACCACGGCGGCAGAGCTGAGTAGTTGTGACAGAGACCGTGTGCTCTGCAGAACCAAACTATTTACTCTCTGACCTTTTTACACAAACTTTATCGATCCCTGGGTTAAAGAATATATTTACATACATTATATCATTTACCCCTCATAACAACCCTGGTCAGTCAAGTTATCTTCTTTACAGCTAAGAAAACGTGGGCTCAAAGAGGTCAGGTTGCCTACACTAACACAGATATTAAGTAAACAGTAGAATTAAGAGAAGAACCAATGTTTAGACACCAAATCCCGTCTTTCTACAACCTCCATGATGACACTAAATAGTATTACATTTGAATCAATTTAAATAGTTGTTTCTGAGCTTAAGATACAGCAATTTAAAAGTTTTCAAATACATATATATTATCTAATTTGATCCAGTAATGGCTAGCTTTTACTGTCCTCTTCCTACCTCCAACAGATGCTAGGGGCAAAGGGCAAAGACTGTGTTGAATTCTGAAGCTCTGGTGTTATTGCCAACACTTAGAGATGCATGCATTCTGGAAGTGGGGAACCAAACCTTTCCCAGCTCTGAACTCCTCCTATTGCCTGCCGTACCACTGGGCATTTCCTGAACCACTTCCCTCATCTGACAAATGGAATTTAAAAATTATTCAAAGGATTGTTGTAAGGATTAAATGAGACAGACAACATGAAAGTGTCTGGCACAAAGCATAAATACTGACTGAATAACCCAATCCATGATAGTTGGAAAACTGTATAAAAATTGAGATAGGACAAAAAAAATATTCAATGGAAAGTACATGTCTCTTCAATCCCAGACCCCAATCTCATTCCTGAGTCAACTGCCACTCTTCTTTCTTTCTTTTTCTTTTTCTTTCTTTCTTTCTTTTTTTGTCAGAGAGAGAGAGAGAGAGAGAGAGAGAATGAGCACACAAGCAGGGGGAGCAGCAGACAGATGGAAAAACAGGCTCCCTCCTGAACAAGGAGCCCAATGCAGGATTCGATCCCAGGACCCTGGGATCACGACCTGAGCCGAAGGCAGAGGCTTAACCATCTGAGCCACCCAGGCACCCGTGCCACTGTTTCTTATTACTATTTTTTTTTTCCAGAAAGTTTCTACACCTTGGTTACTTTTAACAAAAAAAAATTAGAATACATTTAAAAACATTTCATTTGTGTCAGAAAAACATTGATGATTCATTCAGGAAGTACCCTGTGCCAAGTATTTCTCTTTTGTTGATTCATTCCTCAGTCTTATCAGCCTCTCCATTTGATGGTCTAACAGGCATCTCAAGACTGACACGCCCAAAACACAATTCCAAGTAACCGTGCAAAGGACCCTGTTAGTCCTCTGCCTGCAAAGGGAGTTTCAACTTTGCTTATAGTTTATGAGGTTTTTTTTTTTAATATTTTATTCATTTATTTGAGAGAGAAAGAGTGAGAGAGCACAAGAAGGGGGAGGGTCAGAGGGAGAAGCAGACTCCCCGCTGAGCAGGGAGCCCGACGTGGGGCTCGATCCCGGGACTCCAGGATCATGACCTGAGCCGAAGGCAGTCACTTAACCAACTGAGCCACCCAGGCACCTTAGTTTCTGAGTTTTGTGGCCTAAACAAACCATCCTTATTCCAGGGTTATAAAACAAATTATCTATTACTTGGTCTAGAACTTTGATGGTGTATTTCAGGCAAGTATGTAATACATTTAGAATTCATTCTCTTATGAGGTATGAAGTGGATTCCAGTTGTAATTCTTATCAGACAGCTCCCTACTGTCCCAATCTAGTTTATGGAATCATCTTATCCCCACCTGCTGATGGAATGTGCGCTGAGGGAAAGAGAAATTGAGGAAGATTACCCCTAGGGTTAGAGCCATTGGGTAGATAGCTATTCCATTTACAGAACTAAAGCTAAATAAGTATGGGAATTAGGATTATAGAAAGAAATGTACAAACCCTGACAATATTATAACTAACAAAAATCAAGGAGGAGGAACTAAGGCACAGAGTGAATTTTGGGGTATTAATCTGCCCATCTTTCATAGCATTAGAGTGCCTCTAAGGGGTGATTCTACATGGTAACAGCAAGGCGGAAATCCTTCCAGTAAGGAGAGATGGGAGCTATACACTTAGCTTGCTACTTGGTACAGGAACTTGTCTGGGGTAAAAAGACCAATGGACAGCTAGATAGCCGGACAGTCAGGAATGGGTTGGATGATTGGTCAGGGGATTGAGAAGAGTAAGATAGGAAAAAATCACAGACAAGGTCTATGACATCATCTAAAACTGAAATATATGGTTTTAAAAATGGACTCTAATCTCAAGGTTTTTGTAATAATCTTTTCCCCCTTAAGTTTTGAGAGATCTTTCCAGAACTAATAAACCCTTATGGGGAAGAAACATTTATCTGAGGTTCAGCAGTTCTTTCTGTTTTATTTCTATTCCTCTTCCTTCTGTTACATTTAAGAGATAAAGCATTATCTGAAGGGGAAGAGAGAGGGCTTTGGTTAGTTTTGTCTTGACTGGGAGAGACAAGCACCTTTTGCTGCTCATCACACTTGTAATTCCAGTCAGTTTCCAATACAGACCCCTTGAACACCAACCCTGTGTTCCTTCCACAGTCAAAGGGAGATGAGCACTTTCCCCGGCTTAAACAGTACTGCTGTGGTGGGAAAAACACTGGTTTACCAGTGTCAGCTAAGGAAGCTGGGGCTATTTCAGTTACTTACCCCCAACCACAGACACACTTTATCAGTAGGAGGAACTGAAGCTTTGCAATACAGGTTATCTGCCAGTAAGAATCTGGTCTCCAGTGAACTGGTGGACTCCTTCAAAAAAAAAAATGACAGTATTGTAAATAGGTCAGTTTAATAACAAGGCTATAAAGGAGAGATCATAGAGCTGAACCTAAGTCATTTAAAACAGTACCATTGTGCCAACTAAGTGTGGTGGCAAAATAAGTGCCAGATGGCTGGGCATGGGAGGCATGGATTCTGGCTCAGCTACTTACTACTTGTGTAAATTTGGCATTTCACTTGATCTGTGTCTCAGGTTCCCAATATATAAAATTAGAATAATAGTCCCGATACCTCTGAAGGCTGTGGAAAACAGACTTTACACAAACATGCACACACATACACACAAAATAGTGCCTGGCAAAGAGTAAGTGCTATGCAAGAGTGAGCAATTATTGGGGTGCCTGGGGGGCTCAGTCAGTGAGGCCTCCGACTCTTGATTTCAGCTCAGGTCATGATCTCAGGGTCGTGAGATTGAGCCCCATGTCAGCTCTGCGTTAAGAGTGAAGTTTGCTTAGGATTCTCTCTCTCCCTCTGCCTTTTCCCTCCCCTCCCCTCCCCTCCCCCACTCACACTCTCTCTCCCTCTCCCACAAGTTAGCAATTATTCCTTCATTAGTGCTTCATGCTCAACCAACCAGTTTCCTGAAGTCTCTTACAAATTTCACCACATAAAATAATGTATTGGAAATAGTTATTCTAGTAGTCAAGTAATAAATTATATACACATTTCTAAAAAGATTTTATTTATCTGAAAGAGAGAGAGAGAGCATGCACAAGCCGGGGGCAGGGGGGAGAGGGAGAGGGAGAAGCAGACTCCCCGCTGAGCAGGGAGCCCAATGCAGGGCTCGATCTCACAACCCATGAGATCATGACCTGAGCAGAAGGCAGATGCTTAACTGACTGAGCCACCCAGGCACCCCCATATAATCTTTTAAGTACAATATGCTTATAAAATTTAATCTTTACAGCCTGCTTTTATTTAATGAGTACTGTTTTAAGACTCAGAAGATTCTGAAATACACTTCTGCCAATAACTAGCTATGTGACACTGGTCAAGTGTAACCTCTCTGTAACAGTTTCCCGTTACATGAGAACCCAAAACACAATTTTTTTTTTTTT